ATGTTTTTTTTTGTAAATCAATAATATATTTTGCTTTAATACTTTATTTTTTTCATTAAAAGTAAAAAATTAAACAACTTCTAGGCCTTGAAAATTATTTTTAAAATGCCGTCCCTTGGTAAATTCAATGTCCACTTCAGGAAGCCTTAATGTTAATTACCCATACCCTTATTTTTCGATAAACTCTCGACTGATGATATAAGATGGACCACCCTTCAAAGGAAAAATCAAATATATTTTAATATAAAAGAACATCCGCTGTTTGCAAGAAAAATGTATGGAATTAAATTTTATGTAATTTTAAACTTGCCTTACACAACTGGCAGAGCCTTGACGAGTCGCCACTATTTCCTAAGTTATCATTAGGAGTTTAAGGATTATCAAGTGATGATGCATTCCACATAAGAGATATAATTAAATTATTTTTAAACAGGAAATGCTTCTGTTATATTATTTTTAAATTGTATAATTATCGTTCAACAATACAAAGTGTTATCGCACTGCAGTTTCGAGGTTTTGGGATACCCTATCAGAGGCGTAACTAGGTGCCCTGGTGCAAAAAAAAAACTTGGGCCCTTACTAAACTGTTTAGGTTTTATAAAGTCAGAATATAAATATATATAAATACTTTACTAAAGGTACAAAGCTACTTGTTTATCATCAGCTCTTTATCGTACACTGCATGGCACAGCAAAACTACTTACTACATGTATCTGCATAAGTGTCTTGTGTGAGCTTTATAAAGCGATTACTATAGTAATCGTTTAGGTTCTACAGGTGAAGAGTTTAGGAAAGTATACTTGGATTAATAATATTGGTATTAAGAAATAAAACGAAGTAAATCAAAAAGTTTATGCACGTATGTATGTAAAACACTTTATTAATAATAATAATAGTAATAATAATAATAATTTATTGCTTGCTAGTAATACAACTGTATTTTACAAATGTCAAATAGGTATTCATATATTACAATATTAGATAACTAAATAAATATAAGTATTAAACAAATAAGTTTGAGACTACATAACATTTTCAAAATTACAATTCAGGAATTCACTAATGCTATAAAAGGCCCCATTCAGTAAGTAGTTCTTAATTGTACATTTAAAGGCTTTAACTTCCAAATTTCTTATCTTTAAAGGAAGATGATTAAAAAGTTTAATTGAGTAATAATTAAATCCATATGATGTTCTACATAGTCTTAAAGGTAAAGGACGAATATTTGAGTTGTATCTTGTATTATATGTGTGTAACTGGCTGTGAGTTGAAAATTGGGACTGATTCTTTCTAATATATAAAAGACATTCAAGTATAAAAAGGGATGGTAAAGTAAGAATTTTTAGTTTTCGGAAACTAGATCTACATTCATCTCGATAACCAATACCGGCCACAATTCTTATTGCCCTGCGCTGTAGGTTAAATATTCTATCGTGAGAGCTAGAATGCCCCCAAAGTAAAACACCGTATGCCATAATAGATTGGATTAGGGAGAAGTATACCATACGCAAAACGTTTTTCGAGAGACTATTAGTTAGTGAACGTAACAGAAATATATTTTTTGTCAAGCTTTTCGCAGTTGCATACCAAGTAAGTTTTGTGTCTAAATGGACACCTAAGAATTTAACATTTGAAACGGCAGAACTCTCTTCGAGGGATTTAAGTGTAAATGTCATATTAACTGTTTTATTTTTGTTTAGATCTAGTTTGTTAGCTATAAACCAGCGCGAAGCCTGTGACTGTGAGTTTGCGCTTTGTTCCGCGGTTACTAACTGGTCCTTTCCTGTAACGATTATTGAGGTGTCATCTGCAAAAAGTGTTAAATTGTTTATATTTTTAATGTTGTCAGAGATATCATTTATATAGAGTAAAAATAGTATTGGCCCTAGAATAGAACCCTGCGGGACGCCATGTGTAATTGGATTTTCAGATGATAAAACATTATTGACTCTGACGCATTGAGTTCTATCTGATAAGTAGGATGTCATAAGTCTGCAGCTGAGAGGATGGAAGTTATATAAGTATAGCTTTCTTATTAATATTGTATGTGAGACACAGTCAAAGGCTTTGCTTAAGTCAAAAAATGTGGCCAAAGCATATTCGCGATCCTCGAAAGCCTTTATGATAGTTTCGAGAAATGCTTGGATTGCAGTTGTTGTAGAACGGTCTTTTCTAAAGCCAAATTGGCTGTTGTTAAGAATTTTAGATGATTCCAAATAATTGACAATCTCCTCTAGTAGAAGTTTTTCGAAAATTTTTGAAATTACAGGCAGTATAGAAATTGGACGATAATTATTGGGATCATTTTTCTCACCCTTTTTAAAAATCGGTATTACTAGGGCTCTTTTTAAGCCAGTTGGGAAAATGCCAGTCTTAATACACTTGTTAAATAGTTTTGTAAGAGGAGATATAAGTAAGTCTTTAACGCTTTTTAGGGAGTTTATAGTTAAGCCATAGATATCGCGACTGTTTTTTGGTTTTAAACTATTCAAAGCACATCTTACCTGTATGCAAGATATTTCTTGAAAAGAAAACAAGACATTATGTGGTATTGAAGTATTAGACATTAGCTGAATGGGGTCTAAGGAGGATGAGGGCAAAGAATTAATTATATTTTGAGCGACATTGTTAAAAAATTTACTAAAATCTTCAGGAGAAATGTTTATCTTATTCACATTATGAGTATTTTTTATAGAGTTGTTAACGAGGCTCCACATGGCTTTTGATCTGTTTTCTGAGGTTAAGATAAAATTGTCGTGTGAATTTGTTTTGGCTTTTATGATTTCAGATTTGTATAACTTTTTTAAGCGGAGTAGTTCAGATTTTAGGCCTTGTGATTTTGTTTGATTATAGCTATCGTTAATTAAGCTAATAGATTCCCTTAGTTTTTTTAAATAAGGTGAGAACCAGTTTACTTTTTTTTAGGAGACTTTTGTCGAACCAGTTTTTCCGGAAACGAAACTTCAAAAGAATAATTAAGATGTTTTAGGAACATATCTAAAAGAGTATCAGTGTTAAAGTCGCTTTTATCTAGAAAGGACCAGTCACAATTTGAAAGATTATTGTAGAACATAAATTTACCAAACGTTGTTATCGGTCTTACTAGCTTTTGGGGTGTAGAAATAGTACAATAAAAATCCAGTGCTACATCGAGAGATATAGGTTTATGATCTGAATAAGTAGCATTAAGACCACTTACTGTAAGGGAAAAATTACTAAAAACATTATCCAGTGTATTGTTGATTCTGGTTGGGAAAGACACGTGTGGTTTGAGACCAAAACTGTTAAAGAGATCGCAAATACTAGATGCTTGTGGATCATTGTCCATAAAGGAGTTTTTAAATTTAACATTAAAGTCACCTAGTATTAGAATCCTGTATTGTAAGCAATTTATCTTTAATAAAGTACGTGTAAGGTTATCTATAAAATATGAAAAATTACCGTTAGGAGATCTATATACAGTAAAAATTTTTAGCCTAGCTTTGGGTAAGATGATTCCCGAAATTTCAAAATCTTTTTCTGAACAGAAATTCGACAAATCGACTTTTTCATATAAGTGAGAGTCATTTATAAGTTCCAGAGTGCCTCCATGGATATATTGGCGTCTACAGAAATGAGAGATCGACGATAGGTTGTTAATTTTTAGGATTTGAGCTTCATCATTTACTAGCCAATGTTCAGTTAAACTAATAACATCAAAGTTTTCTTCTATTTGTAGAGCTTCAAGTTCATTAGTTTTGTTTCTTATACACTGTATATTCATATACAAGATTTTAAGTTTAAAATATGTTTTTTGTTTGTTTGATTCACATGTTAAGTCTCTTGCAGGGTTTGTGGAGGATCTGGAAAATTTCTAGGACTAAAAAATTTTTTGACCGCAATATTTTTAGGCCAAATATCCTTGTTTAGAAGTGCACCAAGGTGAGGAGCTGGACTAGTTACTTTGAAGCAGCGATAATCACCAGATTTAACTTTTTGTTCCTCGATTTTAGGTTCTACCTTGGGAATTATGTCTTTAATAAAGACTAAAAGATCCTCCTTACTTACGGAAAGGTTAACTTTAGATATTGCTAATGAGCTGTTTGTAGGGTTGCCACCTGTCCTCCTTTGTGGAGGACAGTCCTCTTTTGATAAGATTATGTCCTTTGTCCTCCTTTAAATGAAATATGTCCTCCTTTCTATGTATTTTATTGTGCTCTGACAAAAATATTTTTCTCGGTGAACCAATAAAATAACAGGCTTGCAAACAATAAAAAATTATGTTGGCCGGTATCTGTATAGTGGGTTGCCTAGTGCTTTTTAAAATGCGTTATGAATATTCACTGCAAAATTCCCAGTGGGAATGTTCTTAGATGGTGTTTGGAAGTTTTAGAGGATCATTCTATGGAATATTCCCAATGAATATTCCTAGAATGAAGCGGATTATTCGTAGATGATAAGGCATATTCTTGGAATATTTTCGCACCTTCATTGCAGTCTGGGTAATTTACTAGGTATATTATTATTTTTCTCTGACTGCAATGCTGTTTTGTGTTTGTTATAAAAATGTGTTTATTTAATATTAGGTAGGTAGGTATAATGGGTAGTTATTAGTTTAATGTTCTAGTTAATAAAGTTAATATTGCAAGGGATCGGTCCTTGGTCATTTCTGATGAACTTGTTTTGATTTTGGCAACGCCCCCCTTTTTTTAAATTTTCGCAGCGGGCATTTAAAAAATTTCCATGTCCTCCAACCCCAAGCTTAAAAGGTGGCAACCCTAGCTGTTTGGTATGAAGGCCTGGAGCTTATTGTTCTCAGCAGTTCCATATACATTGTTGTATTTAGGTTTCTTTGAGGTTACTGGATTCAGTTGTTGCTTAAGAGAGCTACTTACAGGTTGAGAATTTGTTTGTCCAGCAGTTTTAACAGAGGTTAGCTCGGACTCATTACTAAGGTTGATTAACTCCTGGAATTTATTTGTTTGTGCTGCAGCAAGGTTTGCATAAGTTTGGTTAGAAGCTTATTTATTTTTATTAATTAACGTAGACGTAGGCGGCATCTGTTGCGCGATAGCAGAAGTACTTGTTTTTCTTTCAGGTTTCTTAATTTGATTGATATCGATTCCAATTGATTTGCTTTGTAGGGAAACCAACTTTTCTTCTAGTAAAGCTTTGTTTTCACACAAAAGTTTGTTGTTGCTATTCAGCAGTTTACATTCACGTTCACTTTTTTCAAGAAGTTTACGCAAACACATGTTTTCCTGCTTTAAGACAGCAAGTTCCTGTACACTTTGCCCGGGAGGTGGGAGTTTGGAGGTTAGCTCTTCTTTACAGCACTTGAGACGCGTTTCATCAATGGATTCAAAAGAGTACCTTTGGACACATGATTTGTGGTATATATTTCCACAGGTAACACACACCACACTTGAACTTAGTTTTGTTTTACAACAGTTAAAGAACTTTTTCGAATCGTCAGATACGTCGTCCGACGCCATGTTTTTAAAATTGTACAAAAAACATGAAAAGCAATTTATATACGGATAAGTCATACAAACCCTTGCGGCCTTGAGTTTACGGTGAATTCACCGTTTGCGTGAATTCACCATGAATACACCGTTTATGTGCAGTGAATATGCCGCCCATTTGTGACATTTAAACGGTGAACTCACGCTGTTTTTGCGATAAATTCACGGTGATTTCACGGTTAATTCACGGTGATTTCACGGTAAATTCACGGTGAACTCAAGTTTGCAAAATCACCGCAAATTCACTGTGAAAGTACCGTGAATAAACCGTGAACTCAAAGCCGCAAGGGAAGCCAAACATCCCCTTAAGGGATCTCTTCCAGTTATTATATAAAAGTCAGACATACCTCCTATACTGATGTGTATACTGACAACAAAATAACAATTTAGTTTATAATCTTTTCGTAGCCTTAGTTTTTCAAAATTATCAATGACATCGGTTAAATTTAGGCTTGATGCGGCTTGGTTTTCGATTGCTATTAGCGATATATGTTGGAGTCGAGCTTGGCCTTATATATACTATAATATATATTATATACAGTATATACTATATAAATTATAGTTATTCCTTGAATAATTTTTATTATTTTTAATTTGCTAAACGATCGATCTTTCAGCTTCTGCAGAAGTGACAGGAATTGTATGAAACAGTAACATTGCTGTCGCATTCTAGCACTCCATATTTTCTCATTATTTTTTACAGAATTGATGAATAGTCAATCCCTTAGTTAGAGGAATAGAGAGAGAATAGAGCATTTTTGACAGTTATTTATCAATTATGACTACCCTTGCGGCCTTGAGTTTACGGTTTATTCACCGTGAGTTCACTGTGAATTCACTGTGAATTCACCGTGAATTCACCGTGAATAAACCGTCTGTTTGTGACATTTGTAAACGGTAGTTAGACGGTGATTTCACGCACTTTTCACAGTATTTTAATTGTGAATCCACCGTATTTTGGCGGTATATTCACGGTGAAATCACAGTGAATTCACGGTAAATAAACCAATAATAATAACACAATCGACTAGCCATTATTCGTTACTGAGCAGATGAGGATGGAGATGGGGACTTCAAACAATTAATGTTCAGCTATGCCATTACAGACGCACACTTCCAACTAAATATTGCAACCCAACGCTATTTATAGTTAGCTCGCTTGCGTAAGCAGCCGTGAGATGTATTGCTTAAACCGCTTAACACAGAAATCGACTAATAAAAAAAACCGCTAATAAATGGCGTCCAACTTGTTGTTTTTTTTCTTTATGATGGCGTCTCAACCTCGTTGATTTTGCGCAGCTACACGAGAGCTCTCTTGCGATATTTGTATTGTATTGGGAATAACCAATTAGCAGATTGTTCGAATCTTACACTTACAATTTGCGGTGTTTTCACAGTCAATTTACGGTGTTTCACAGTAAACTCACAGCGCTTTTACGGTGATTTCACGATAGATTTACGGTACTTTCACAGTGAATTTGCGGTAGATTTTTCAAACTTGAGTTCACCGTGAATTTACTTTGAAATCACCATGAATTAAATCACCGTGAATTTATCGCAAAAACAGCGTGAGTTCACCGTTTAATTACCGTCTACAAATGTCACAAATGGACGGTATATTCACTGCACATAAACGGTGTATTCACGGTGAATTCACCGTAAACTCAAGGCCGCAAGGGTATCGCATATTTTGAAGCAATAATTTTGTGTCTTAAATGTTTTATTTATTAATGTTTAGCCCGGTTGGGTTAATTCTAGATTCCTTTAGGCCATATTAGTATCTGTGATACAATTGCTGTGTGCATTCCCGGTTGCATAGTATGTACCGATTGCGGCAAAGGCCACGTCGTTTGACGGTGTGGATCACCTGATGTTCTTACATCTCGCCTCTGTTGACTTAACAGCCGAGCATATAAGCTCAGGGAGTAATTTGTTTTGATTGTGTTCCACTACACCAACCCAGAGAGCCATATCAGGTTAAAACATGGCCAAGAATAGCCCATTACCTTTGGAAAAGTTTTGCCAATAAATGTACTATGTAAGACTGTATATTCCTATGGTATTTGTGCAATCGCGATGGCCAACAATAAATGACCAAATTGTGCCCAATAATATGCCAAAGCAGTTTGGATAAATTAGGTAGGTTAACCGTAATTACCGTTGGTTTAATTTTAGGAATGTTTGGGCATGGAAAAACGATGATGTTTATTTGGGCAATTAGGCTTTTGAAAAATTGACCAAATATTGGTAAATATTTGGACAAATCCAACAAATTAACAAATATTATTATTATATTTGAAAGAATATTAAACTTTTTCTCATTTATATTAAAATCTATTAATCTATCTACTTACCTATTAATTTTTTGGAGAGTACCTATTTGAAAATTGGGTAAATAAAACGCTTTTAAATCCTCTTTTTCCTTCGTGACATATAGGTAGAAAATTTATTTTTAAATTCTCCTGCTTGTAGTAAAACCCTGCTTAAAATACCCCATAGAGACCCTGTTCAAACCGATAGATATTTGTATCGGGATGTATGGTGTTTCTATAGGGTGTATCGGTTTGTATAGGACCCGTAGTTGAGATTTATGGTTGTTCTATAGGGATATCCACCATTGATTTATTTGCTATCGGTTTCAATGGGGAAAATACACATAAATGTAGAAATTAGTTTTTTCCCTATAGGACCCTATAGGTTTTAATAAAATTTTGTCAAATGTTTTATGGTTGTTCTATAGGGATATCCCTATATATCCTTCATTGAGTTATTTTCTATCGGTCTCAATAGGGAAAATGTAAAAGTTATGGTGTGCCTATAGGTAATTTCCTATACATTTTCTATCGGGCTGTATCCGGAAAAACCCATGGACAAATGCACATATAGAATCCGGTAGCGCCCGATAGATTATTTTGTAAAGGTCTCTATGGGGTATTTTAAGCAGGGAAGCCTAGTACCCATAAACACTATTTACCTAGAAAAAGGCAGTTATTTTTCTCCACTGCAACTTCAAGATGAACATCTGTAACAATTAACAAAAAATAAGTACGTAATATAGAACTACCAATGTAAATATTTATATTACTTCAAAATTAATAAGGGAATAAAATCTTCGAGAAGTAAGAAATTGTATAATAATTGAATGTTATATTAAAAAATATGAAAACATAACCTTAATTACTTACTCAAAATTTAAAGCCGTTTAAAACATAACACGTTTAGTTAGTGCACAGATGATTATATTTTTTTGTAATAACTATCACACAAGCACTTTTTGACGCCTTTTTGTAGAGAAGGTCATGAAATATTAACGACATATAACTCGCCATTGCGATTCTTTTTCCATGCTGATCAATTATTTGCCAAGTTTCGATCAATCTGAATTACAAACGCTTTGCCAATTTTCGACCAAACTTCATTACAAACGACGTTGGCCAATAATAACTCTATCTAGGACTGTATATTTGTGTAGTTTTTGTGCTATCGCATTGGAAAATAATTTGGCATAACACATGTCAATTTTTGGTCAAACTTTATGAAAATACAATTAATATGTCCAAGTAAACCCCAATAAATGTAAAATATCGTAGTCCAAACTTAGTTGGGAAAAAGTTGACTAATTTCTTTCCCAAAGCATGGCTCTCTGGGAAGTTGCCCGACACTGGTGAGACCCATTAAAGGTCGAAACAGCTGTCTGTCGGTATTTGAAGTTGGTGGAACGCATTCAAAACAAAAAACTTTGGCGAGGTGTAGGCAGTGCTGCCAGACCTACCGTGAAAACGGTAGATCTACCGTTTTCTCCAATGAAATACCGCTCTACCGCTTAGCCACTGTATTAATACTATTCTACCGTGTAAACGGTAGATCTACCGTTTTCTCCAATGAAATACCGCTCTACCGCTTAGCCACTGTATTAATACAGTGGCTAAGCGGTAGAGCGGTATTTCATTGGAGAAAACGGTAGATCTACCGTTTACACGGTAGAATTCTACCGTCTTTTCCTTGAAATTTTTTGAAAATCGTACAATGCATAGACTAACTAAATTTAAAAATTAGCATGGACAATTTATTTGGATTACGTCTATTGAAAAGAAAACTGTATAGAGTTATAACTTCTAGTTCGGAACGTACACTAGTAAAATTATATCTTTCTAGATGGCGCTTTACTGTGGGACTTTACCGCTTAACAGATTACACATTTCTCCTCTTTTATCATAGATTAGATTTTAACATTCATAAAATATAATTATAGCAGTGCTCAAGCGTATAAAGTTTTTGTGTGTTCTTGATAGTATTTATTTAGGACATAATTTAAAATGAGGTATGAATATTTTCAGTTTTATAAGCTATAACTTTACTACTGCTTTTATTTTAAGTCCAACATCTAGTTCAGACGAAGCAACCCAGACAGCATAAGCTCTATTTAATGATTTGAACGTCAAATACAACATCAGAAAGAAGTTCTTAAGACTTTGAATGCGCCACCTATTGAACTAATCAAGACTTCTCAAAAAAGAACTCTTGAGGAACCCTTTTCTTTGACTTCGCAATTAAGCATTTTAAAGAGTCCTACTGTATAAACTTATAAAAAGACTTCTTTAGAATTTTCCGTTTTGGATATAGAAGTACTACTAGGGTACTGATGAAGAAATTGCATACTGGATCGTTGCTTATTTTGACATGTCAAGTTTATTTTATTAATTTGTTAAATTGATTTTATTAAAATCATTTTAATAATTTGCTCGTATTCGCTTATTTTAGGAATTCCGATTACTTCTTCTCACTTTTGTTTAAATTCAATCGTGCTCTTCACCGGCACCGATAGACGGCCTTTTTCGCTCTTTTGGA